TGTCCTTACAACGTCTCAAACGTGTGTGTGTGTGTGTGTGTGTGTGTGTGTGTGTGTGTGTGTGTGTGTGTGTGTGTGTGGTGTGTGTGTGTGTGTGTGTGTGTGTGTGTGTGTGTGTGTGTGTGTGTGTGTGTGTGTGTGTGTGTGTGTGTGTGTGTGTGTGTGTGTGTGTTTTAATTTATTTAATCGCGTTAATTACAACAGCTTAAAAATTAATTAATCGTAATTAATCACATTTCAAACTATTGGCAAAATTATGCCATATTTTTCTGTAAATTGTTGTTTGAATGGAAAGATAAATGACATCATAGTGAACATATGTACTGTATTTGTTTGTTATAACAATAAATCCATATAAAATGGAATTAACATTCTGTCTTTCTGTGTTAGACTCAGACCAAACCATGTTTGATTTACAGATGAGGAACATTTCAAATAGTCTGAATGCAGAATGTCATTAAATCTGTTTGATTTGCTCACACCATTGCTTTTTTTTGGCACAACGAACATTGAAACTGATGGTCGAAAGGAAAATTGGGTACCTCAGCTTTAATTTAGCGAGTGCGCTGTCGGGAGAAGACACGAGGAGACTGAGGCTCCGCAGTCCAGCTTCAGCGCTGTACATATTGTGTGCATCGGTTACGCAAAGACACGTACGCACACTAGAGAAATAGTTCTGTACTAGTTCTGTGCGTGTTCTTGGATAAGATCCCATTACGCAGCGCCGTTCGTCGTGATCACAGCCGCTGGAAGTGGGACCTGCTGTCCAGAGCGCCTGTCCCCCCGCAGCTCATCATGCAGAGCTCATACAGGAAACAACAAGTGCCCCGCGGTCACGCGTGTATTCTTTCAAAACTTGAATTCCCAGAGGGCCTATCTGCTCTGTCCCCATCTTACACACGCGCATGTTTTTTTTTTTTTTTTTTTTTACGCGATTAATGAAAAAAATTAATTAACGTGCGTTAACGCGTTATTTTTGACAGCCCTAATATATATAATATATATATATATATTTTTTTTTTTTATAATAAAATAGGGCTGTCAAAATTTATCGCGTTAATTACCGTTTTCATTAACGCGTTAAAAAAATAATTAACTGCCATTGACGTGTTAACACGTCAATTGCGTTTCGCGCTATTACGTTTCCCAGATGTCTATTGTATCAAATATGTAAGGCTTGAGGCAATATTTTATCGAGCCCAGCAGATGGCTGAAAACAGCTAGATGCACTTGAGCCTCTTTTTTTCTCAGCTTTCTGGTGATTTCAACAAAACTTACTCTACTCGACTGGGGATTACAGGGGAACGAAACAAGCTAGAAACAAAATTATTTTTGCTGCGATGAAAGTACACAGTCCATATCTTTCAGAATCTGGTTTTGGATTCTGTCATCGTACACAATATTCGTTGGGTCTTGAAAATTCAGTAAAAATCATCAGAAACGGCTGGCAATATGGGAGTACCTGTTCTGAAATAGCTGGCAGTCAATGAGTTAACGCATGTCTGAATGACCCGCCCATTTATAATAATATCACTCAGAATGTTGCCGCGCGACACGTGCGTGTGTGTGATGGGGACAGTGGTAACGTGGTCATATAATACACGCATATATATACACGCACAGGGGCCATTCTCTGATGTTGTGTGACACACGGAGGAGAGGAGGAGACACGCTGAAATGCAACCAAACTCGCAAAATTAAAGCTGGGGTACCTACATTTTCCCTTTCATTAACAGCTCTTGTTGGTTGTACCCAAAAGTAGAAGGTTGTGAGCAAGTCAAACCAGATTTAAGTACATTTGGTATGAATAACAATGTGTTACATTTGAAAATCTCATTTAACTTCAATTGGAGTGGATTTGAAAATAGAATGTTTAAAAATGCGATTAATCGTGAGTTAACTCACCATTACTATGCGATTAATCAACTAAAAAAAATAATCGTTTGACAGCCCTAATATATAATGATAGAACCATATATATATCAATTTGATAGAATCATATATTTATCTATCTTAGTGTTTATACAGGCTTCATCATATATTTGTGTACATAAAGGTTCGATCATAATATTGCTGAACTGTTCAGTTGTTGACTTGGTAAAATCAAAGCAAAAATAATCACAGAACATTAAAAAAAAGATAAAAATATAAAATCCCTCAGTTGTATGCACAGCTAAACAGCACCGTTTTTAACCTGTGTTTAAACATTGTCAGAGAGGAGGCCTGTCTCACATCTTCAGGAAGATTGTTCCAGATTTTAGCAGCATGAATCAGAAAAGCAGCCTCCCCATGTTTAGTTCTGACTCTGGGCACTAACAGGAGTCCAGTCCCTGTGCTCCTCAGAGTCCGGGCTGGTTCATATGGACTAACATGTCACTAATATATTTTGGTGCGAGGCCATGGAGAGACTTGTACACAAGCAGAGCTGTTTTTAAAGTCTATTCTCTGAGCCACAGGAAGCCAGTGCAGAGACCTGAGGACCGGACTAATGTGGTCGTACTTCCTGGTTCTAGTCAGGACTCGAGCTGCTGCATTTTGAATGTACTGCAGCTGTTTTACAGCCTGTTTGGACAGACCTGGGAGCAGGCCATTGCAGTAGTCTAACCTACTGGAGACAAATGCATGGATAAGAATCTCCAGGTCTGCTTTAGACACTATGTTTTTGATCCTGGCAATGTTTTTTAGATGGTAAAAAAAGCTGCTGATGTTAATGATTTGATGTGGCTATTAAAATTTAAGTCTGAGTCCAGTATTACCCCTAGATTTCTGACCTTGTTTGAGGTTTTTAGGGGAGAAGACTGTAGTGACAGATCGCTCTCTCGTTTGTTTTCTGGGGACCAAGACAATCATTCAGTTTTGTCTGCGTTTAGCCTGAATGGAAGTAGTTTTGCATCCACTCACTGATCGTTTGGATACAGTGATGGATGAGTCCACTGGACCATGTTCTCCTGCAGAGCAGATGAGACATAGATCTGAGTGTCCGTCTGCATAGTATATGATAGTAACCTTTGTTTCGCTAATAACTGACCTAACGGCAGCATGTAAAATTGAACAAAAAATAGAGGGTTCCCAGGATCGACCCTGTGGGACTCCACAGGTCAGGCCATATGAACTGAAACACAGTTTCCAATCCTCCACAAAGTACTTCCTGTCTTCAAGGTAAGACCTAAACCAACTTAGGGCGCGCTAGCGACGCCAACCCCAGATCTCTCTAGTTCCTCTGTAAAGAGGATACTCATGTCGACAGTGTCAAAGGCAGCACTTAGATCTAACAGGATTAGGATTGAGACTTATGCCTGCGTCATGTTCAGCCGTATATCATTTGTAACCTTGGACGAGAGCAAAATTCTCATGCTGTGGTGGGGTCCTTAAGCCGGACAGACACATATCAAATGAGTGTGATTATAAAAATCTAGTAAGCTGTAGGTAGACAACTTTTATTCAAGGACTTTCCACATAAATGCAGATTTAGAGATGGACGATAGTTGTTCAATACCTGTAGCATCCCGACTGCTCTTTTTTTAGCAGGGGCCTGATGACTGCAGTTTTCAGGGCCTTTGGGAATATTCCAGAAATCAAGTGACATGTTAACTATCTGTGTGAGTGAAGGAAACAGACTGCTCATAACAACTTTAGAAATATAGTGGGTAGACATCCAGTCTGCATGTGGAGTAAAAAGGAGCTCAAACTGGCGATTATCTCTTGGACATTTTGATCATTTACAGGTGCAAAGTAAGTTAGCTCAAAGAGCCTTTCTGGCTGTTGTGATTGTTTCTGAGGATTGGGGACAATGGCGTTTTGATGCCTTGAACCTTGTCATTGAAAAAATGTGCAAACTCTTTACCTTTACGTTGGAAGTTAGCTCTAATGGCCATTTGAACAGGGGTGTTGTTAATCTATTAACTGTTGAAAACAGACACGCCAGATTGTTGCTGCAGCCTTCAATCATTTCATGAAAAAATACCATTCTCTCGTACTACGTAGCACATGGTTAAACTCGCACAACTTTATCATTGAAGATCTTGTAATCAACTGGAGGTTGACTGCGCCACTTCCGCTCGGCCTCCGGCACTCTCTTTTGTGCCCTGACCGGGGGGGGGGGGGGAGTCCCTGCATTATCCCACGGCGCCTTCTGCTTATTTTTCACTAGTATTTAACCTTCACAGGAGCGATGTGTCCAGAACTTTCAAAACACTAAGGTGACAGAGTTAAAACAGTACATCTACAGTAGAATACATGCATTCCAAAGTTTATCATTCCCATAAATAGTTATCACCCGTATTTCCATTATGTGATCTTCTTCGTACAGTTGCAGAGTCCACTGGTGGGTTTGGTAGTGAAACACATGTCAAAAAATATACAAAAATGATCCAAAGTGCACATTTTTGGATATTTCTCCCAGAAGATTATACTTTGGGAAATACAAGTGATATTATTTTTAAATGGACTGTCCCGAGAGAACGAGCCATAGGAAGCCGGAGGAGAGCTGATTGATATTATGCAGCACAAGCCCAAAGAAAACATTTTTTTTCCGAAGTCACTTATTTGGTGCCCAAATTATGTGTTATACTTTTTGAAGGTTTTTGGGTTGGGTGTTCAAAACGCATCTGTTATGTCCAGCAGACATTTTAAAAATAAAAATTGCCACCGGCGGTCGGGTGGATGTTAAAGGTTAATGGCTCATATCTGGATTTTGAAAGAGTCTGATGGTTTACTACGGGCTCCCCCGTTAGAGTTCTTAGAATGGTACAGTCCAGATATTATAGCGTACCAGAGTGTACTACGGACTGCTGTTTGTAACTACATGCTTATGGCACGCTACTAAAAGAAGCTAGAATGCCAGTCATTTGTTGTGTCTTTATTTATAACACAAACATGGTGTCAGAAGTGCAAATACACCCATAGCCTGGAGGACTATCTGTGCAGCAGTGAACAGAGTTAAGCAGCGGCGTGGACTCGGTGAATTTTCCGAAGCTAGTATTGCAGGGCTAACAGACAGCATGGCATCAAGCATTCCACCTCCGGAGGAGATGAAGCTAACCGGCGACATCGCAAGTAACTGGGACAATTTTCGAACTGAATTTGAGGACTATTCTTTGGCGTCAGAGTTAGCTGACAAAGATGAGAAAGTGCAGGCTGCTACACTAAGACGAGTGATGGGCAGTGAATGCCGCCACGTTTATAAGCACAACTTGACCCTAACCGCAGAGCAACAGGAAGACGTGAAAGCTATTCTGGATGCATTAGAGAACTATTTCAAGCCAAAAAGGAACGTGATTTTTGAAAGATACGTGTTTGGAAATTGCAGGCAGGATGACAGTGAGCCTATTGATTCATTTGTTACAAGGTTGAGGGAGAAGGCTGCTTCGTGTGATTATGGAGAACTGAGAGAGGAGCTAATAAGGGACCGGCTGGTCCTCGGCATTAGCGATGAAGGGGTGCGACGGCGTCTTCTTAGAGAGAAAGATCTAACCCTGAGTTCGGCAATAGACATGTGCAGAGGTGCTGAAATGACGGACATAAAGTTAAAAATGATGACACCGGATCGGCTCGTGGAGAGCGTAAACATAACTTACAAGCGGCAGCAGCGGCCAACGCAGCGCTCGGACAGGCCCCAGTACAGCATGCAGGGAACGGGCAACGACATCACTTGCAAATATTGTGGTGGCTCACATAAGCGGGGACGTGATGCATGCCCTGCATTTGGGAAAGCGTGCCGCCGGTGTGGGACACAAAACCATTTTGCGAAGGTGTGCATGAAAAAGTCGCGGCCTGATCAGAGAGTGAATGCTGCTGATAATATAAACAGTGACGACGACGATACTGACCAGATCTACACAGCTGAGAGCATCGGTGCACTGCATGGACGAGGAAAAAAGTGGTTTGCGACACTAAAACTAAACGGTGGATTACAAAGGTGCCAGCTGGATTCTGGGGCTACATGCAACGTGATGAGCATTAAAGATAAGAGAAAACTAGCACCCAATAAACCACTGCTTCCTAGTAAGGCCAGGTTGGTACTATACTCGGGGGAAACGCTGAACTCTGTTGGCATCTTCAGAACTGAATGTGTGGTACGAGGTAGGAGGCATATGCTGGACTTTGAGATAGTCAGGGGTAACCAAAGGCCACTCCTGTCAGGCTCAACAAGTGTGGCGCTAGGTTTGCTGCATTTCACCATCCCAGATGAACTGCACAAAATAGACCAAAGAAGCGCAACACCTCTAACCAAGCAGCAACTTATTGACTTGTATGCAGATGTTTTCACGGATCCTGTCCAGTCGCTTCCAGGGGAAGTCCACTTTGAGCTGGACAGATCAATAGCCCCCACACAAGCTGCACCAAGAAATGTCCCAGTGGCCCTTAGAAACGCTGTCAAGGCCCAGTTAGACAAACACGAGCGAGACGGACACATAACCCCAGTGTCTGAACCAACTGAGTGGATTAGCAACATGGTGATTGTTAGGCAGCCAGAGAAATTGAGGATTTGCATTGACCCCAAGTCTCTCAATACGGCTTTGAAGCGCTCCCACTACCACATGCCCACTCTGGAAGACGTGTTGTACAAGCTCCCAAAAGCTCGATTATTCACACTTGTGGATGCACGTGATGCTTTCTTACAGTGCAAATTGGACAGAGACAGCAGCTACATGACGACGTTCTGGACGCCGTGGGGCAGATACCGTTGGTTAAAGCTGCCATTCGGAGTATCTGTTGCACCAGAGGTCTACCAAAGAAAGCAGCATGAACTTTTGTCAGGGCTCAGTGGCGTCGAACCAATAGCAGACGACATACTGATTGTCGGTTGTGGGGACTCTGATGCGGAGGCAGTGACAGACCACGACAAAAAGCTGCTTGCCTTGATGGACAGATGTAGCGAGATCAAACTGAGGCTAGGTCTTAAGAAGCTGCAGTTCAAAGTCAAGGAGGTTAAGTTTCATGGACATATTCTGTCGGCAGAGGGTCTACGGCCAGACCCAGAGAAAATCAGGGCAGTTCGAGAGATGCCTCACCCCACGGATGCCAAAGCAGTTCAGAGATTTATTGGATTTGTGACCTACCTTGCAAAGTTTCTGCCACGTCTATCAGAAGTGTGTGAGCCACTGCGGAGGCTACTTGACAAGGATGTGATGTTTCACTGGCTGCCAAAACACGATGCAGCGGTGCAGGAAATCAAAAGACTAGTCACCGCAGCGCCAGTCCTGAAATACTACGATGTAACTAAGCCGGTCACTGTTCAAAGTGACGCTAGCCAGAAGGGACTCGGCTGCTGCCTCCTACAGGATGGCCAGCCGGTTGGATTTGCATCTCGAGCACTAACGCAAACTGAACAAAATTATGCACAAATTGAAAAGGAGTGCTTGAGCATTGTGTTTGCGTGTCAACGGTTTCATCATTATCTCTATGGCAGGGAAGAGATTATGGCTGAAACGGATCACAAGCCGCTCATCTCAATTTTCAACAAGCCGCTTCTGAGTGCACCCAAACGGTTGCAGAGCATGCTCCTCACACTGCAGAACTACAACCTCAAGGTAATGTACAAACCAGGCCCAGACATGCACATTAGTGACACACTAAGCAGAGCCACAGTTCCTGCAAAAGTACCCCAATGAGGCATACAGCCGCCACTCTGTATGCTGCCTCCAGAGGGCGCAAGAGACCGCTGAACACATAAACCAAGCTGACTACTTGAATGTCACTAGCCAGCGCCTAACACAGATCAGAGGGCACACAGATGAGGACACATGTCTCCAAATGTTGAAATCTGTAGTTCTGAAAGGGTGGCCAGAATGCAAAGAAGAGACACCCACAGCCATTAGAGAGTATTGGACTGTCAGGGATGAGATCAGTGCTCAGGATGGTGTGCTTTTCAAAGGTCAGAGAATAATCATCCCAAGGTCACTGCGTCCAGACATGTTGAAACGGATTCACGTCAGTCACATAGGGGGCGACGCATGCTACAGACAAGCAAGAGACACCCTGTACTGGCCCAATATGCAGGGTGAAATAAAGGATTTTGTTAGCCAGTGCTCGGCATGCAATGAATACTCTCACAGACAGCAGCAGGAAACGATGATGTCACACGCACTTCCTACACGGCCATGGCAAATCCTTAGCATGGATTTGTATAGGCAAGCGGGCAAAGACTTTTTGATAATGGTGGACCATTACTCAGACTTTTGGGAATCTGAGCAGCTCTCCGACCTCTCTGCAGAAACAACAGTCCTCAAATGCAAATCTCAGTTTGCCAGATACGGCCAACCTGATCGTGTAATCACAGACTGTGGGTCCCAGTTTGACAATGAGTTATTCCGGAGATTTGCAAAAGAATGGGGTTTCGAACATGTTATGTCCTCACCTAGACACCCCAAGTCCAATGGTAAAGCAGAGTCAACTGTGAAAATTGTTAAGAACTTATGCAAACGTGCAGTGAGTGCAGGTTCTGATCCCTGGTTGTCTATATTGCAGTGGAGAAATACACCTACAGACGACATGGACTGCAGTCCAGCGCAGAGACTGATGGCCCGTAGGCTGAAAAGTCCGCTCCCCGTCTCGGACAGTCTTTTGGAGCCACGCGTGGTTGCGGACGTGTCAGAGAAGCTCAGGGCCAAGCACCAAAAGGCCAAGCTTTGGTATGATAGATCAGCCAGGGACCTACCTGAACTAAACACGGGTCAACAGATCAGGATGCAGCCGCTGCCAGGAGACCGGACGGGAAGATGGAGGAGAGGTGTCTGCCTCCAACAGGTGGGCCCTCGGTCGTACCTGGTGGATGTTGAAGGAACTTTGTACAGGCGTAACAGAGTGGCCCTAAGACCAGCCGAAAAGGACACATCAGATAGACCACAGGAAGGACAGGTACCGGATGCGGACAGTGCAAGAGCAGAAAAAGACACGCGACAGAACACAAACGATCAGAAGCAAGCTGAACAGTCTGCAGCCCATTCACCAGAGACAAGGGAATACAGGACCAGCAGGGGCAGGCTGGTAAAGCCACCAGAAAGACTTAATCTATAAGGAAATAAGAAAAGAGATGTTATGTAAGAATAATAAGTTAAAATCAAAGCGCAGAAATGCCCTTGTTTGTTTGTTGTTCTATAACAAGTATAAAAGGGGAGATGTTACGGGCTCCCCCGTTAGAGTTCTTAGAATGGTACAGTCCAGATATTATAGCGTACCAGGAGTGTACTACGGACTGCTGGTTGTAACTACATGCTTATGGCACGCTACTAAAAGAAGCTAGAATGCCAGTCATTTGTTGTGTCTTTATTTATAACACAAACATTTACCTGCCTCTGTCTGTGGTTCTCCTGCCTCTGTCTGTGGTTCTTCTGCCTCTGTCTGTGGGAAAGTGAACTTTTAACAAGGACTTTTAACTGCTTTTATTTGTGTGATGTGTTTTGTGTGTTTTTATATTTTTAATGCATGGATTTTAATCACAGTTCCAATTGGACACTTCCCCAAATCACCCACACCTGCTTTTAATCAAGACCTTTTAATTGGGGGCGGGCACTGCAGGACGAGAAGAGAGAGAGACACAGAGAGAGACACAGAGAGAGGACACGGGACCGGGCCAAGGACGAGCACCGCCAGCCAGAGACCACGGGGCACTGAGGCCAGCGGGCAGAGCGGCACCGGTGAGGGGGCGCGCATTGATAGCGCACTGGCGCATGCGCGCCCGGGCTATGCCCACCGAAGACCGGGATGTGCCGGCTCTTCCCCGCGGGTGCCCGGTGGCGACCCGTGGTCTGCAAGGGGCTGGCGGGACTGCAGCCCGGTCCCGGGACGGAGAAGGGCCTGGAGAGAACCGAGGCCGCCGGTGCCCAGCGGACTACGGGTTTTATCATGATTTTAATGGACCTTTTGTAAATATTTTATTAAATTTTATCCCCTTTTTATCCTCTTCCTGTTTTATGATCACACCCCCTCAACAGACACTTTTAAACCTGTGACATGTCTGTGGTTCTCCTGCCTCTGTCTGTGGTTCTCCTGCCTCTGTCTGCGGACCTCTCTCACTGTCCAGTAATCGCGAACGGTCTCTCTGTCAGTCACAATAATATTCACTGCATTTCTGGTGCATCCATCGATAGCCGTGATACTGACCAGACGTCACCAGTTGATGCTCAATGACTTTGAACAGCGTGTTTTATTATTAATCATGTGTTTTATTATTAACACATGTGTTTTATTATTAATCTTCCACAGTCCGTTTAGGATAAACTAAATAGAGGCTTCTGAAGCGGATTCTAATCATAAACGGAGAGACCGTTTGCATTTTAACGCGATTACTATGGGGTGCCGTTTGTAAAAATTCTGTTAAAATTTTTTAGCTGAACATTTTTCTACATTTAGCTCACTTTCCTCACATTTAGCACATTTTCCTCACATTTAAGACATATCTATATCTAAATATTATATCTATATCTAAATGTTAAATGTTATATCTAAATATTATATCTATATCTAAATGTTATATCTATATCTAAATGTTAAATCTAAATGTTAAATCTAAATGTTAAATCTAAATGTTAAATCTAAATGTTAAATCTAAATGTTATATCTATATCTAAATGTTATATCTATATCTAAATGTTAAATGTTATATCTAAATATTATATCTATATCTAAATGTTATATCTATATCTAAATGTTAAATCTAATCTAAATGTTAAATCTAAATGTTAAATCTAAATGTTAAATCTAAATGTTAAATCTAAATGTGTCGCCAAGTGTAAAGCTAAATATATAGAAACCACGCCCACTGCAGTGGCTTCAAATCCAGTGGGCCCGCCTTCCGTGCCGTGTGGTGAGAGCCCTACAGGATTACACAGGAATCTCACGGGACTCCACGTGGCTTAGTTTACAGTGAATACACTCTGGCTCCAGCAAATAAGCAAGAATCTTCACAAAAATGCTAATTTTGTGCCGTGGCCAAGGACGATGGCGCCGGAGACCCAACATGCCTTGAGCCGTGACGTCGGTCCACGTGTATTCCTATGTTCAAAACACGCGGTACCGCCCCCACTCACCACACGGCACGGAAGGCGGGCCCACTGGATTTGAAGCCACTGCAGTGGGCGTGGTATATGGAAACGGGCTTCCATATGTTTGAGTTATTTATAGTCCCAAAATATGCGCGCCGCCGTTGCTCTCCCCTCAGTCACCAAGTCCCCACCCCCTTACTTTCTGTGGCATTTTCTTCCCCTGAATCTGTAATATGTGGAGGAAGCTTGGAAGGAGGGAAGAAAAAGCCTGAAGGTAAACATATATAAGCGCATCGCAACTTTGTCTGCGCTGCACAAAGGGGGCGGGGCTAAGGAGACAAACATAAACAAGCTACTAGTTTCTGGGGTGTCAAACCGGTCATCAAAGGGGACTATTCAGGTTGAGAAATGGATGGAGTCTTGTGTTTTTCTGCTTGGTTGGAATGAAATCCTGGACCCACCCCTTTCTCGAACCAGTTTGGCACCCCTGTTCTATAACATTGATCTAAACATTTCATATGATCCGTGTATTTAATAAAGAGCCACAAGGGGGGTCATAGATTATCACCGGAACTAGGGTTATATCCCCTTTAAAATCGACAGACACCTATACAGTGGTTGTAACAGGCAGGGACTGAAGACAAGTTAGAATCAAAAACAGTCAGGAAAACAGGCAGCTTGAGTTGTTTCCTCTACTCACTCATGTGTCCTAATACCGAGGGAAAGATTGAAAAAAAATTAAGGTTGAAAAAAAAAGACATTTGATCGGAAATTGAGATTTTGGTCGATCTAGGGGTAAAATGTTCTATATTTTTCCCCCAGATGGCCCATTCTGAGTTCAGAACATGGCACCTCAGGGCATCTGCCATTTTTACTGTACACTCATCGTTCACTTGGGATAAGCTCGACACAACAATTTTATTAGGTATACGGGTTAAACTCAACATATACTTTTTTGTCTTGGCGTCTGCATTTGACCCGTCCATGTCTAGCACGAGGACGACCTGTCAGGAGCAGTGGTCACTACGGTGCACACCAATGAACGTTTAAAAAAATATTTTATGACTTGCCTTGTGCCTTACAAAAAAAAAGAGAGTTATTTTTAAATCTGTATTTTTATAAAGCTGGTAGTAAAGAAGGGCTGCTTTTTTACTTTTTTTAAACATGTGAAGTAGACTGTTGGACCAAAGGTATTGATCAAATACTTTGAATCGGTTTGCTCTGTATTAAGCTTACCAGAGGCACATTAACATATTATACTTACAGTAATTATTTGAAGGTGTTTTTTTTTTTCTGGAAAAATAAATGTTGATGTAAGCTTTTTGTATTGTTATTTTCTATAGACAAGAATTTGTGAAACTCATTTGGATCAGAAGCCGAAGTTTTTGAATGAGAGCTACAGGTATATAATATTAGCCTGGCCTTATTCATCCGTAAACTCTGAAATTCTGAAACTGAAATGTGTACGATGGTGTGGTACAAACCATCAAGGCTAATATGGTTATTTTGACTTTAAAATTATGATATGATGAGTCTCATAGCGTCTGTGGAAAAATACATGAGCCATATGCTGTCAAAGGATGGAAGTTGTTTTGTTTAGACTTTTCAAACTGTAAGAGAGAGTCAAACTAAGCCAAGACAAGAGCAGCACCGGTTAGACCCACCCATGCTCACCCAGGTTGATATAAGTCAAATCTTTAAGGCCCCTGGTCACCAGTCGTACTTTTCTTCTCCTGAAAATCTTTCTTGTTGTAGTTGGGGTTGGAACTATATATTGTTGGGAATACTGAACATACAATAATAGTACAGTGTCCAATACAATACAACCCTTTAAGGCTCAGCTTGGGGTTATATTTTACATAATAGCAAAGGTGCTATGGTATTAAAGGTATTAAGTCCTGAGAAAGTTACTAATTGTAGTATATGTATAAATTATAGTTGCTGGGATAACAATATGACTGTTTTTAAATGTCACACACGACTTTGAGCTAATTTTTGTCCAAAACAATATACACATGATGGTCGGTGTGATTTGAAAACAGGAGAGAAGTCTTCATTGAAATCCCTGCTATTCATGCAGTTTACATAACCTCGTTTAACTCAAATTTGTCCCAAAGGAAGCATGTGCCTGCAGAGCTTGGAGGGTAACACAGTCCTAAAACAAACCCTCTTTGGTCGAATGTGGAGGAAAATACATGTTGGCCTTTTTCATTTTTCCTGTGACGCATTTTCAACTTGAACAGTCACTTTTATACAATATTCGCCAATCAATCACTCTATTTCCTGTTTGTGGTCATAGCTGAACCTTCTGACCTGTGCTCTCAGTGAGTGAATAAGCTCCCACATGTATTTGTTTCCCCGCTGCTGTAGTTATGTTCAAAGTAAACAAAGCTGGTCCCTCAAAATGTAGTGATTACAAATGTGTCCGGATATTAGTTTTATGCTTGATTGTTTATACACCAAGAAACAATCATGTGATATTTCATTTTGATAAATAATGTATACTGTGATGTTTTGGTTATCTTAGCGATTATAGTAAAAAAAAAACACAAAAAACCCCCCAACATAATTATACAGCGTACCCCCATTCATCAGATCCAGCTTCACGCCACCAGAGGGCGGTGTTACACTCTGACTTGTGGTGAGAGGATAGTGACGTGTGTGTGCCATTTTCACAGACGAGAAACAACCAGCTGTAAAGCAGAAAAATAGATGACATTTATTTGAAAACTGTTGAGAAGAGGATCCTTTTACTTTTGTATTTTACAACAATTATATTTTTCTCACTGTAGCCATCAAAAACAAACTATTTATATTATTCAAATAGCATATTTTTTTCCTGAGAATCTTCTGTGGAATGATAATACAAAATAATAAATTAAATGGCATAAACTTGTGGCACTGGCAAAACAGTAAAAATGTACACGTTAAAAGTTGTTTTTAATGGAATGTGAATATTTGTGTTACTCTCGCTTCATCCTGTATTATATAGCTATCACAATTATTTCATTTTTTCATTGTGTAAAATAGAGAAAATGGTTGTGGATGGATAATGATGTTTACAATTAAAATTGTATTTGGCAAATTCCTGATGAATCTTAAGATTTGGATTAATATTAAGTTAATGTTTGATGCTGTATTTATTATGCCAACAATAAAAACAAAGAGCTAGTATAGCCATGTTTTACACACACACATACATACACACAGTTTGAATTCTCTGAATTCATAAGTGAGTGCTTAACGATAACCCTCATTTGTACCTAATATTGTTTTAAGATACTCAACAAGTGACAGATGCTCCGACAAAACGCACACACTGGACTCAGACTCATCCACAGCAGGTTTTCCAGTTTCTGTCCATCAGGCCTCTGTCCACAAGAGATACTCATCCCAGTGAGAAATCTCAGAGCTGGAGTTAAGTTCAGTTCCACATGGTCCTCACCAAGTCGTCCATCTGTGGTCGGATAATAAGGAGAGTGTCTCTTCAAACGACAGAGCAGTGTTCTCCTCACATCTGGATGGGCCAGCTGTTGGCGTCCTCTAAGGCATTGTCCAGCTCCTCGTCTTCATCCAGGGGCTCTGGCGTCCGCACGGCCAGCTCATGCAGGAATTCAGGAGAGTAGGCTGGAGGCCTGGCCTCGGATTTAAGGCCAATCTTCCTCTTCAGGAGGTGGAACTGGTCCCGGATGAAGTTATAGAACTCGTACTCAAAGCTCATGCGGTGATAGAGAACCTGCAGAGCTTCCAGAGTGGGCGTGTATTTACGGACTGTACTTGTCAGTTTCCCCATCTTCATATAGTCTGCACACAGACAACATTGGCAAAGCTGTAAATTGACTGTCAAATATCCTGTATAGTAAAACAGATGCTCAAACATACCGCACATACACACTCTATTCACTTAGTGAACTGGTAGTTTGTATTCTATCTCAGCTGAAAACAGAAGCAACAGCTCATCCTGGACAACACTGGCTTCTTTAGAGGGCAATAATTATATAAGATAAGGTGACACTTAACACGACCGAGACTTGTAAGTGGCACTATAATCTGTTACGGTTTGTTTTCTCCACATTAAAGCACACACCAGAGTGTCTTGTGCCTCTCTGTAGTGAATATAATGGATGTGCACCTGGACCCTTGTAGATATCCACTGCCCCAGAGAAGTACTGCGGTAAGAGGCGCTCCAACAGCAGCAGCACATCTTCCAGTTCCTCTAAAATCCCAACAAGCAGATAGTTCTCCATCACGTTCTGTTTGGCCTTTTCCAACGCCCACACTCCCGGCTCCCTGCATCACAAAAGCTCCATTAGTGAATACACAACAATAACAAAAATAGACACAATGTTATTTGGCACGTACCTGCACTTTGGATGCTGTCCACAGAAATAAGGAATAATGTAGAATATCCGAGGGTTGGAGCATTCTGGGTAGTTTTCCAGAATACATACATTAATGTCCTGAAATAGAAGGAAAAGGAGTGTTAGATTTGTTTTTCAGACCTTTGCAATTGCTATTGCTGCCACTAGAGGAAGTCATTTAACCAGCTTTGCCAGTATGTTGCAGCTGAGGTTTTCAAAGGAATGGTGTGTAAACAAAAAGCAACACAGTAGTAGAGGTTAAAGAAGCAATCATGTCAGCAGTAACAACAGAAGCAGAGAAAGAGACAAAAAGGACAGTGGTGATGATTCAGGACGCATTCAACAACATTTATGGACATTTATGGACATTTATCGACATTGCCCACCTGCCCCTTATGGACCAATGGCTCTATGTGTTTTTTAAATCATTGCATTTCTTGTGTTCTCTGATCTGTGTTGGCTATACAAGAATACATTGAATTGAATCCAAATTGAAAGTACCAAAATCAGTTTTTAACAATAGCTAAGTACACACTTAAGCAGTTTGAGTATTTATCCCTGTTTTTACACTGAACTTCACCTTTTTGAGAGCATTTAGGGAGTAATAATAAGTGACTTTTGGATTTCCCCAGACGTGTGTTGTGCTTTGGGAAACCCCTGGCAGCAGCGTCCAAATTCTCCAATTACAACTGATTAAAAACACACAGAGATAGAAGTGGGCAAGGCTGGAGAAGTGTGGAACCTGCAGCCAAATCCATGTCAGCTCTGGACAACACAACAGAAGAGAACGGGAGAGGGGCCTACATGTCATTTCAAAGTCCACACATGCAGAATAAACACAGAGAACAGAATAAACCGGCTGACGTTTTTATTCGAGCATCGGCAGAAGATATATGCTCTGATCAAGTCTGCATTAAACAGAGCTATTTGTCACCATCACGAGGGCCCATGGACGCTTGCACTGTGACAGAGATAAAGTACTCTGCTGAGGGCTTCTGGAGGACACAAGGCTGAATAAGAGAGCAAACCTAACGCTGTGGAGCTATGGTCAGTGTACGTCATCTGTGCCAGTGTTTTTCAACCAGTGTGTCTTTTGGAAATCACCCAATATCACCTGATTGGTCAAAATAGCGTGAAAATAAAAGATTGTGAGAAGTTTAAAATAACTTTTTTGCGCCTGTTTGATTTTCTATATAATACACTTGGATCTAAATGACTTTGCATGTGGGTGGAGAGGTCCTTCCTCAAGTGGAGGAGTTCAAGTTTATCTTATTTTATGTTTATCTTAATTTTATTGTCTATTATCTTAAATAATAGACTTATTTGATGTGTGCAATCTGAGTGCTCTTATTTCCTTTCTTGCTTTAATGTGCGCAACGATGACACTGAAATTTCTCCACTGTGAGACTAATAAAGGGTCATCTTATCTTATCTCTGGGTCTTGTTCACGAGTAAGGGAAGGATGGAGTGTGAGATTGACAGGCGGATCGGTGCAGCGTGCGCAGTGATGGGGTTACTGTATTGTTGCGGTAAAAGGCAAAGCTCTTGATTTACCTGTCAATTTTCATTCTCTCCCTCACCCATGGTCATGAGCTTTGGGTAATGACTGAAAGAACGAGATCGCGGATACAAGTGGACGGAATGAGCTTCCTCCGCAGAGTGGCTATAAGGTGAGGAGCTCAGTTACATGGGAGGAGCTCGGAGAGAGGAACCAGTTGAGGTGGGGAAGACCCAGGAAATGCTGGAGGGACTAAATCTCTTAGCTGACCTGGGTCTTGTGGACCCCCCGGTCGAGCTGGAGGAAGTGTGTGTGGATAGGGAAGTTTGGGCGCCTGTGCTTAGACTGCTGCCCCCGCGACCCGGCAACGGATGAAGAGGAAGTAAATTAATGGATGGATGGATGGGCTTTGCATTGTTACTAAAGGCTGCAGATTTTCTCATTCTGTATCAGTTTCAGCTGATGGAGTGACTAAATATTTAATATATATAGCATCATATTGGAACATTCTTCATGATTAAAGTAGTTATTAACACTGGTACTGGTTAATAACACATGTAGTTATCTTAATCATTATGAACATTTACATCTTAGGTCAAATGTTTATCAAAGATTTTATGCATTATAAAAGAGAAAAAACCTATATATTTGAGTGCTAATTTAGGGGGTTTAGGCTGAAGTCATAACTTATACTGCTGAACCCCTTTTACAGCTATGACACTAATGCCAAAGATGTATTATTATCATTACCAATAAACTGTTTCTCCTGTATAGAAACATACAGTAAGCACAAAACTTAAACTTCCACTTTCAAAATATCCTTAATTAACTTATTTTCTAATTTATTTAAATGTTTTATGCTTCTCCATGATGTTTAACTATAAATATTTTTGTAATTGCTCTAATAGTTTTAGTACCCTAAAATTGAAAAGATAGACTGTTCCATAGATCACTCCTTTGACATGTCTTACTGTAAGAGTGGCGATACCAGACACAAGTCACAGAATATCTAAATGACTACATAAACCTATTGTATGCTGAGTGAGTTACATCCTGACCATGGCCCGACTCTCTCACATGAGTAATGCTCGTCCCATTCAAGCAAAGTGAAATATCCGCAGCCCGGATACTGAGCGGTGGCACTTTGTGACGTTCTTATACAGTACCACTAACACATCATTGTCTACAAAGACACAGAGCAGTCGCCAAACTCAATTAAACTGACAGAAACTTGTTGGTAAAGGACAAAACCAGAGAGTTTTTTCTACAATGCTGAAGTTTATTATTGTTACCTCATTAAATATAAAATATGTAGTGAAGAGATTCTTTTGATTCAACATGAGGATGAGTACAGGTTGGAGCTGCAGACATAGATTCTCAACATACTTCTTGCACCATACTTCATGCACTGTGCAAAGCCGTAAATAAAAACGACACAAATGATCAGTCTGCTGTTTCTGCCTCCAGCAGAATCCTGTACAATTACACAATTACACTTTACATGCTCTCTCTGTCTGGTTCACGCTCTTCTGTGTGCTGCTGAAGAATGCCTTTTTGGCGCTCATTGAAGCAAACCACAGCAAAGCTTTTCAAAGACGCACAACAAAACCCGGAGGTACGTTCTGCCCAAAACAGAGCACCTTTGTACTGCGCTCGAGCCTGGGAAAATTCTGTTGTTTGAGACTCTCCGGTTTGAACGAGGTGGAAAACCATGCTGTCAGATGTGAAATTGGATAGTTTTAGTATGAATTCTGTTTTTTTATAAAGAATAATTCACATCTTGCAAAACATCAAAAGAAATGGTTAATAGACAGAATGAAATAAACCATCCACTTGAACAGCGAGGGGCACGTGCAAAACCCTAGTCCCTCACCCGCATGGCTTGGCTCCAAAAGTCTCTCCTGTTGGACAATGCTAAGAGCCCTTGTGTCCCAACATACAGGGCCACTGGGAACACAGCCACCGCACAAGTAACCGGTGAACAAAACACACTCTTTAGTCGCCACATTAGCATATCGCCAAGGCCCAGCATGCGCACTCTCTCACATTGTGCCTAAACTCACAGTGGATTATACCAATGGAGCTTTCAAAGTGGCTGAAAAAGACTCTTAATCTAAATCAAGTCCAATAGATTCCACCAGAAATGAAATTAGTGAAGGCGAGTGATGTTTAGCACAAGAGAATAACGGTTGCAGAGCGTGGGAGTGCCACACCTACGTCAAACAGGTTGGTGCAGTGATTGAGGACTAAACCAAGGTGGCCAGACTAAAATCAATCACGTCAAATCTATTTATGTCTGTATCGCTCAAAATCACATCAGTGGTCGTCGGGGGACATCACAGAATTGTTGATTAGCCTCAGTCCTCTTTCTACTGTCTAAGTCCAGGATCTACAGCCTGTCGTTCACCCGTGGGACCGGATCTCTTTCTTAATATGGGCCTCCCCAATTTTTGTTTCTAGCTGGTGCAGGAGGGTCTAAGAGCAGAGAGGATCCGGGCATTCAAGGACATATATAGAATTTTTTACGCTTATGGACATTGGTTCTATTCCCGCTCCCTATGGTCCAATGGATTGTTATTATTGCATTTCCTGTTTGTTGGTGAATCAACAAGTAATTAAGCCATTTTTATTTATAAAGCGTATGTTTACAGACCAAGCTCACTCAAAGCGCTTTACAATGTTCAGAGTTATAGTTACATTTATACCTATTCTGCATGTTTTTAGAGGTAGGGGAAACCGGAGCACCCGGAGGAAACCTTGGCAGACAAGAGGAGAACATGCCCTGCTCCAACCAAGATTCAAACCCAGAACATTTTTGGCAAAGAAGCAAGAAGGCTATCCACTCAGCCACCGTGTCGCCTGTTGTAAAGCTGTTGTTATTTAGAGCTACACAAAAATACATTGAATTGAAATGATTTTTGCCAACAGATTAGAAAAAACCATACAATTAGATCTAACGGTATGCACTCCATCACATCAAACAGGGAGCCAAAACGTATATAGAGTATCCAACGTCATGCTACATCCAAAGCTAGTCCTGGAGTGAATAGGAGTAAACCCGAGGCCAACCTTCAGGATAATGTTGAAGATGACAGAACAAGTTTCAACTCGACGAGCACCAAACCCCTCCCTAACACCGTGTCAGTGTGTGAATGTCAGACAAACCGGCCTTATTGAAGAGCATTATTAAGCAGTGTGGGAACTCGGAGCGCCGTACCGACTCTCGTGCTGCCGTTTGAAAGTAACTTGCACTTTCATCAGCTGTAGAAGTGGGTTATTCCTGTTTTGAGATGATCCTTTTCATAAGCCTGAGGGGACCGGTCTTGCCAAATCAACTTTATTGCAGCTCTCATAACATTTATATCTTCATCTGCCGCATTTTTCACAAAATCTATGAAAAATATGCAGCATTAGAAGCTTGTCTGGCACAGGATTTGAATCAATGAATGCGGTAAAAAGATGCAGTGCTCTCACTTCTCAGCAAGAAGGTCCCGGGTTCAATTCTACCTTCAGTCAAAACCACCTACACTGCCTGTCCTCCAGGTGCTCCGGGTTTCCCCTTCCCGGAGCACCTGGATACATATATACAGTGGGTGTACATGTTTTCTTGTTTATATTGTCCAAAAAAAAGACCATTAATTCATTCATACATTATCTACTGCAACAACAAGTGTTTTCTTCTATAAGTTGGATTGAGAACTTCAAATATGATGATACACTGATTATTTTTGTGAGATGGTCATGGGTTCGATTCCCTGGCCGGCACAGGGTCTTTCTCAGTGTGTGTAGATTTCCTCCAGGTGCTCCGATTTCTTCTACCGCTAAAAACTGCACTACAGAGACCACTGCTACTGACAGAATACCCTAGTGGCATTATAGAATGGGTCAAATGCAGAACACAAATTTCTCGATGGGGACAATAAAGTATCAATTATCTTAACTTTTGTATGGTTGCCAGATTATAGTACAAATTATGCCTTAAAATGAATTTAGTCCACGATCGGCAGCTCCGACCACGATCATCAAGCACTCGCCAGATTCATACTCATGCATGTTTTGGGCCCTGGGGGGGAAACCGGAACGGCCAAAGGATACCCACTCAGACACAGAAATCCACTGGACCGGCTCAAGGATCGAACCCACGACCTGATTGCTGCCTGGTATTTTTTCAGTCATAGTGACCAACTACATATAAAACTATCTCAAGCATGAATCCACTGTTGAGTTTATTGAGAGAAAGCGCTAAAGAGCCTCTAAATGTATGGCCTGTACATTGAGCAGGTCCAGCTCTCGCCTCTGTTCTTTCATCCACGCCTCAGAAGAACACAGAGTACAGTATAGTGGCAGTGTGGCAGCTAATGCGCTCCAGGTTGTGGGATTTATTTAGTCCGGACCATAATTCCCCAGAGTGCACCACTGTGAAACCGATACACTGTGGACACAAAGCCAAACATGTGACCCCTATTAGGACGGACTTCAGGAAGTAACAGTAACAGACTTTCACTTTGAAATCTAATTGCCCTGCGTTTGTTTGACTGGATTCCAATGACCCATTAGCTTCTCACCTTTTTAGGAGATAAGAACTAACAACAAAAAATGTGATAAAAGTATAATGCCTTTTGTGTTGCCTGAAGGTAAAGTAGATACACTGCAAAAGGTGATGAAAAATAAGGCAAAAATTGCTCAAATTTGGCAGGATCTGTCTTATTTCCATTCACTCATCACCATCCGTTTACTCATTACATTCAGACCTATCGCACATGCTTTTTTTAAATGGTAGGATAAACCGGAGCACCTGAAGGAAACTGTCACAAACACAGGAAACTCAGAAAGGTCCAGTCTGGAGGGGGATCAACCAAAACCTGGAACTTCTTCACCGTTCCAATAATGAAGAGTTTATATTATTTCAGATTTCTTATTCTCAACTGAATAATAAAGTCTGTATTCATTAAAGGGGATGTATGTAATCCATCTTTTGTTGATTCAGAATACTTTCTTTTAGCCTGACTCTCGCCAGACCCATGTAGTTCGCTGCACTTCACAAACGCCTCTGGTGGAGCATGGTGGAACTACAATGGTCTGGCAGAGCCAGGCTAACTTTCTTTATCCCACGAGGAGCAATTCATTTTAGCAGCATAGGGCATACAAAACACATAAGGAAAAACATATAAAAACATACTCAAACTGCCAAAGATTTGCCAATGAGACAAGCAAAATGATCTTGGTTAAAAAAGATACAAGAAACGTCTCCCTTGGAATAAAATAAACCAAAATGTTACAGTTCTTGAAGTAAGACTAATTACTACTTCACATTCTATCATTTTTTGTGCAGTGCAGACATTTATAGTGTCCAGTCAACATACATTTGGCTATAATATTTTCTTTATGCGATCACGCTGAAGGAAAACAAAACCATGTGCCAAGTCTTTCATTTCTAGAATAAGGGAAAGACTTTATTTTCCACCACGGACTGTAAAAGCACACAGGTAGAGCATCAGCCAGTCCATATAAACGCACAACTATACTTTGTAGCTACAGCGAGGGGCCTCAGTGGTCTGCATACTTTATTAACTCAACTCACATGCTCCAGACTCCGGGGAGAACTGTGCAATACTTAATTACAGCCAGTCAGGCTCAAGGCAAAGTGACATTGGCTCCTCCTGCTGCCCTTCTGTTATGCCCTAGTTTTAGGTGCACTATAGGCCGGAATCTGCGTAAGGCTAATAGGATCAAAATACAGTAGATCTGATCAAGGGTAAGAATGAGGAATGACTCAAATCTCTAATTAAAATGATTAGTATTGGGTTGGACATGTAGAGCATTGAAGGGGTCCCCCATGGCTTCTGCTTTGGGCCGCTGTACTTTGAGGGTGTATGGGAAACGTCAAGGCTAATTCAGTTAGAATAGTCAGTCCAAACAAAAATAAGCAATTATTTTAAGGCACGTTCACAATTGTTGGTCTGGTTTAGTTGAGGGAAAATGATTTGCAGATCTGTTTCAAAAGACGTACAGTAAACTGGTTGATGTGGCTAAAAACTTGTTTTGGTTGTTTTATATCCACAAATAAAGGAATTTTGCTCTAACTAAATAAAATGAGCCCAGTTAAAGCAAACCAGATAAAAATGTGTGAACGCATTCCTAAAATTTTCAAATTGCGAAGATGGAGAGACGTTACTTTTTATGCCAGCGTCAGTTAGACCCGCCCCTAAATCAAACATATTAGATTTTGCGAAGAATTCAAACCTTTGATAGACAGCTGTGGCCCTTCACCATTGGCATAAATATTCTCAACAAATGTATGGTGACAGACAATTAAAAAAACTATTTAATATGAACAGTGCTTAAAAGGGATATGGATTTTTGACTTCCGGGTGTATCATCAAGACTATTGGTCCTCCTAACTGTTAATCATTCTGGTGATACGTGCTCGTCAAAAAAGACCAGAGACTTCAAAAAGTGGAGAGGGCGGAAGAAAGGTTTCCTGAAGACGGGTGATAATACATCTGTCAGTTAAATTGTACTCTAGCTTGTGTGTTACCGTGACGATATGGGGGTTTTCCTCTATAATTGCATGAGGCGGTTGAAAGGCCGTAAACACTGCGCTTAAAGTGAGTGGTGACATAATATGCCCGTGAGAATCGAAATATCCTTAGGTCTCGTTTCTATTCATACAAGTGTTTATGTGAAGCCACTTTACAAGCCCTCATCCATGTGTTATTGTGTTTTATGCATCTCTAGTGGTGGAGAGAAGCTTTTGTGCTTAGTACGCAAATGTGGAGCAATACTTCAAACAGTTACATGTCACATCAATATAGTTAGTGTTGTGTGCATGTGTGTGTGTGTGTGTGTGTGTGCGTGTACTACTTTGGTACTCGGACTGGAAGAAGTGATCTCATGTACATTCAATAAAAACACTGTTCCTTCCAAGATTACTCACAATAATGTTTTTTTTTAAATTTATCTTGCAAGGATATGACATCATAATATCCATTGACCTTTTGTCAAATCTATCAGAGTTGCAAAAGAAATTGGGCATGACAACATATAGCTGAACTAACTTAATCGTGGAGCACTGAGTGACTTTTGCACATTTATCTGTATCTTTCGGAGTTTCTCACCAAGTATCGCTCCTCGTCCTTCATGTTGGGAGTTCGTAGAAGGTGAAACTGCTCTCCTCTGAAGTCTCCGAATCTCCTGAAGAAGTAATTGGAGAGGAAGCGGTTGATCGGGTCTCGGATAATGTTGAAATAAACTGGTTGTTCTATTTTGAAACTGAAAAACAAAGACATGGATTTTAAGAATAACATTAAGAAATCTTTCATTTGTCCCACAGTGTTGCATAACCGGTTTCAGAACGGTGAATATGCTCTAAAATGAAATAAAATAAAAGGAAATCTCTAGCTTTAGCATAAAAAGGAAGCAAATCTGTGAGGCTCAAACCTGGTGAAGTTGAGAAAGTGAACGTGTCTGGTGAACAGAAACGGCTCTGGGATCGACGTGATGTTCTTCATGAGTGAGACCTGCAAAAAAACACACAAAAACAAAACATTTAAATGAACTGCATGTAAGATATTCATTATAAATGACATCTACAACTTTTATATGCGTCCCCAGAGAATAGGTCACATGTACAGTTAATGTGATTTAAAATATAAAATTTGACACAATGTTGACGATATTTATGTTCAAGCAAATCAGCCAATCAGAGCGCAGAATGAGTCTTTCAAATGGGTTGTCAGTTTGTTGGCTGATATGTACCTGGTTTTGGTACTTAAAAAAAAAAAATTATTCACACAAAATTGCACCAGACATATTAAAGTGAAACCAGGTACAAACATAAGTAAGTAATCATACGTAATACACAGAGTTTAAACCATTCCTAGCTAAACTCCAGCAGGCGGTTTGCATCAGTAATCAGTACTTATAGATATGGACTTTAGTGTTTGAGCTTGCACTGTTTTCTTCTTCTGTTTGTATGCTTCACGTATGTTACTTATGCCATGTCCCTTCCACAATAAAGAATTTTTAAGTTTAGTCAGAGCGCCTCGGACCTTTTCCTTTTCGCTTTCTACATTTTTTCCCCCACGGATCCACGAAGAGCCCCTGACTTTTCACGTTTACCCTATATTATATCTTATTGATCCCCGTATGCACTTACTCCTCTTGTGTTTTTCGCTTATGGTACTGTTTGACACTTTCTGTATGTTTTGAACTTGTTTTTCCTCATGTGTTTTTTATGCCTTATGCTGCTAAGATGAACTGGGTTAAAAAAAAAAGTGGTCTGAATCAACCAAAGCTGGATAACATACGTCCCCTTTAACAGAATACAGACTTAAATCTGAAATAATATCAATTCTTCATTATTGGAATGCTGAAGAAGTTCCTGGGTTTGATTGATCGCCCTCCAGACCGGACCTTTCTGAGTTTGCATGTTCTCCCTGTGTTTGTGTCAGTTTCCTCCAGGTGCTCCGGTTTATCCTACCACTAATAAAAGCATGTGAGATAGGTCTGAATGTAATGAGTAAACAGATGGTGATGAGTGAATGGGAAAATATTGGTACTCCATAATGATCTGTGTCTGTGAAATGCGCTATATAGATAAAAATAACCTACTTGCTTGATTAATAAAGGTCTAATTCTGCTGTCGAGATTTTACACTGAACACTTACAGCAAGAACCCACAACTTGAAGGTAATTGGATGAGAGAGAGACGCAGGATTACAATACTCGTTTAGGCAGCTGAATGTATGTGAAGTTTTTATGACCAGATTATGATTAGTCAAAAAAAAACAGATAAAGCTAGTATTTAAGTTCTTTCCAGCGCACTAATAAAATCATTCATCTCCATAAATCTACTTTTCCAGCGGTCCAGTCAAGCTCAGGAAATCCAACAAGTTTTCCACATTCCTTCCTCATCACAGAGAATAATGGGCCAAAGACTTTCATTGAGACGGACTGACGTTAGCCAAAGCAAACCTGTCCCCCAGCAGAAATATGACGTCTATCAACTCTATCATGCCCTGTTTTTGTAGACCTCATGGTTCTGTACTGGAGGTCGCAGCTGGACATTCACAATATGGACTTTGTGATAATAATGAGTCATTTTCACACACACAAACAGGCGCACACAAACACGTGCCAAAAACACTCCATCCATCCATTTTCTTCCCCTTAATCCATTAAAACACACACATGAGTTAATTTGTATAGCTATTTGACTTTGCATACACACACACACGCACACACGCAAATGCATGCATACACACACACACACACACAAACGCACGCTGGTACGTACGCACACACAGATTAGTTAATTTGTGTTGCAATTTGTATACTTCTAGAACATTGTTTTAAGCACTTTGTTATAATAAAGAGTCATTTTCACACACACACACACACACACAGACTCACGCACAAACGCACACACACACACACACACACACACACAAACGCACACCACACACACACACAAACGCACACCACACACACACACAAACGCACACACTCACGCAAGCATACTCACACACACACATATTAGTTCATTTGTATACCAATTTCAATACTTAAAGCAAAAGGCCACTCTCTAATCCAATCAACTTTATCAACAGTGAACGAAACAATGCTAACAAAGCTAACAAAGCTAACAAGAATGTAATTTTCATCCACACATAAAGTAAAGGCCACACTGGATAAAAGAGCCACAACAGTTATATATACAGGTATATTGTGGTGCAAAGAAAAAAAAAAAATCAAAATATTCAAAATCAAAATTTGCATCAGAATTTGCAATTCTTTCTTGTTTTGGTAAAGTAAGAAAAAACCAACAGATACTAAAACCATGATTTTATGAAGAGGTGTTTAAAGACAATGTTGACTCGTGATGATCAAAGCGCTCTGATAAATCCAGTCTAATTATTTTTACTCGTCAAAGTATCTATCTATCTATCTATCTATCTATCTATCTATCTACAGTATCTATCTATCTATCTATCTATCTATCTATCTACAGTATCTATCTATCTATCTATCTATCTATCGCTATAACAGTCGTCTTGGAGGACTTTACATTATTGTTGATTCCTGAACAACAGATCAGAGAAACAGAACAGTTCAAACACAGGAAATTAAATAACAACAGACACATAGGAGCCATTGGTTCATAAGGCGGCAAGTGAGCAACGCCAAGAAACGTTAATGAAATAGTACTGTATATATTTTAGTGATATACTTTTGACTGCACAAGCAAGGAAGTTTAGGAGATTAAGAGATCCTTTATTGGTCCCACAGTGGGGAAATTTCAGTGTTGCATCACCAGTTACAGAAAAATAGGAGCACACGGGAAAAGATAAGTGATAATATCTAAAAAAAATAAAATAAAATAAAATCTCATTTCACAGACAAAGGTCACACAAAGCTTGGTTACACATTATAATACGGTTTGCTTTATACATGATTTATGAAAGCTTTCACAATTACAAATCTAACCCAGCTGACTGAACGCAACATTATGCCCGAATGAGACATTTTAATACCAATATGAGAGTTAATTTTCAGGTAGCACCATATCACACAGGTCATTGGAAAACATTTTAGTCTCTTTGTAGTCCGTCCCTAACCAAGTCAAATTCAAGCACAAACCGTAGAAGATACAATCCCCACATAACCCTGCCTTTGCCCACAGAAGATGAGTAAAAAAAAAAAAACACACAATTTTCCCAAACAGCCCGCGGGGGAGCAGCAATTTAATATTTTTGTTCACGGAGTCAGAGTTTTCCGGGAGAAAGTCTGTGTATAGAGCGAACTTTTGGGAGCCTCTGGTGCTGTGTTAAGGCTTTGAAATGTGTCAAAACACTTTCCATCACTTTCTAGCAGCAGCGCGGGGGGAGACCAGCTCTGAGCGCCTATAACATGAGCCTATGCACACAGCTCAAAAGCCTATGAAGGAAAACAATAACACCCGACTCACTTTATGGCCCACTGCTTTGGACTCAAAAATCATTTCGAGCCTCATTGAGTTGGACAAAGAGTCGGGGCGGCGTCGATGTCCAAGAAATGGTATGTAACTTCAGTTTCATCATTCAGCTGTTTCTCGGTATAGACTGTATGAATATGATTTGCATGTTTTGGATTCGATCGGTTTTCTTCAGAGAGACCGCGTTTTAGCGTGACTGCGGATATATGGACACAGGGATGGGTGGAGACGGGCCAATAGGAGGAGAGGGAGGACCGCTTCAAAACTTAAGAATGGGAATATTGTTTACAAGCGCTGTGTTTTGAAATGTAAAATTCAGACAGTGGCTCAGTAGGTAGAGCGTTGGCCTTTAAGCCTGAAGGTTGTGGGTTTGAGCCCACCGCAAGAACTTCTCCACTGACTCCCACTGCTGTCTGCTGTCGTTTTGTCCTTGGGCAAGGCACTTTACCCCACTTTGCATATAACGAGTGCGGGAGTGATATACTGTATGTATATGACCATTAATCAAACCGCATTTCTCCATTGTGAGATCAATAATAAAAGTATATCTTAAATAATAATAATAATAATAATAATAAAAGTATATCTTCTTCTTCTTTACCAAAGGTGTTGAGATGCAGTTTGATGGTAAAAGAGTCTAAAAGCAAGTGATAGGTGATCCACCAAATGGTTGAAAAAACTATTAAAGGGTTAACCATATGATGAAGACCAGGAAAACTTTTACACATTGGAATATCAGTATACTAATTTCTAATGTTTTTCTCAGGCTTAATTATTAAAGCAGTTCTGCACGCTGTTATGGTCTGACTATATTCAAATCCAGGTTAAAGACGTTTCTTTTTGCCTGTGCATAAAACTGAAGGATTTAATATGTATTTTTTTTTTAATGTATGGATATTTTTCATTTAAATCCCTTGTGTGGTTTTTAAGATTTGAATAGCTTTAATTACCTTTGTGATTTTTAATTGTGTTTTTAATGGTGATTTTGGTGTTTACTGTATGTTTTATGTGATGATCTGTGCCTTGTGTGATGTGGACCGTGAAGTTCTTTGTGTTGCCGTGTGTAGGAAAAGCTCTGTATATATAAATATTGATGGATTGATGGATCGTTTTTACATGAAGTGAGGAGGGTCCAGGGGCCTGCTAGAAACAAAAGGCTGCATGGGTAGGTCTGCAAACATGGGTGAACCTACTTGAACAGTGCAGCTGGCCACAACAGTTGCATTTCAGATTCCTCATTTAAGAACCGGGGCCAACTCTGTGAAACTCATCCACCTAAGTTTGGATTCAATGACCCTTCTGAAAGTGGCCATCTGTCCTCATCCCCTTTTATTACATAGATTACTTTCCACCCTCGTTTTTCTCAAAGCGCGTGCATCAGCCCTGAATGTCCCGTAGTCATAAACCTGTGTGTGTGTGTGTTACGTCACGCTGTATGTGTACTTGTTTATGTACACACACTCGGTCTAATCTGAGGGCCCAGTCACAGCCCCGGCTCCCTGGATCAGCGCAGTACATTTCCACTCTGCGTTCTGTCTGTAAAAA